TGAGCGGTAGTGATAGTTGGAACGGGTGTAATATCGGTAACGGTACGGAGAGCAGGGCGAACAGGAGCGGATGTCTGATGCCCTGGAAGAAGCAGAAGATGCAGAGAGCTGCCTGTAGTGGTGTCTGAGGTGGGAAGGTGCAGCAACCAGGAATGGTGAAGGCAGCCTGGAGGAGGCATGAGGGGGGACCCATGCCAATGGGTATAGCGGCGTGGAGAACGAGGCATCGGGAGAGGCGAGGACGGTGCCGACAAGAGAAAGCGGGAGCGGGAGCAGCCCTGGCACGGGAACATCAAAGGAGCAGGACTCAGAGCTCTTGATCTGCCGGCATATGCTGAAGAGACAGCTGGCGCGGTGTTAATCGGCGCCAGGGGCTCAGAGGCAGCAGCAGCAGCCTGTGCCATGCTGGCAGGGAGGCGGATCGGCACCGCATAGTGCCAGTGCCATGATGGTCAGCTCCGGGTCCGATCTTGGAGCCGGCTCAGCACTCTGCAAGGGAGGCAGAGGCGGCAGCTGAGGCAATGCTTCCTAGGAAGCCTGCATATACGAAGGCTCTTGCAGTCGCTTCGGCTTTGGAGCGGCTGAGATGGGGGACCTGGCTTAGCTGAGCCAGAAGTCCCCGGTCTTTCAGGCTGGCTTTCCCTGGTGTTCAGGGCAGCTGGTAGGGATCTTGTGGGAGAGATCCTGGGCTTTTTCTGAAGCCCCGTAGTCGGGGAGGAAGCCCGGCACTTGTGGAGCTGTTGGTCCGCATCTGTTTGCTGGGGCTGCAGAGCTCTGTCAAAGAAGCATCGGAAGATGCCTCTCTCTGTCCTTCCTGACCCTGGAGGTAAGTCTGGTGCAGTGGTAATAGAAATGTAGCCGTGTTAGTCTGGTGTAGGTACATTTCTGGGGGACACGTGATTCCCCCAGACACTGGATACATTCAGAGTGGCCATCGGAGGCTGGCATTGCCTTCTGGCAAGAGCCGCATTTTTTGAAGCCGGCAGCTGACATTTTGCCGGTTGTTTGTAGTTGAGTCTTATCTCTAGGTAGAGATAATGTGGTGATAATGTCTCTAATATGTTGTCTTTATCACCTGTTTTTTTTGTTTGTTTGTTTTTTACGCAACTATGTACAAAGGAGAGGAAGGGAGAACAGCTAAGAGGCGGGAGATAAGAACAACAAGGGGCTTTTATTCTTAATCCTGTTCAACTCTTGTTATTCTGTGGTGGTGGTGGTGGGTTGTGGTGTTGTGTGGGTTTTTTTTTTGTTTTTGTTTTTTAAGAAATGAGAGAAATAAAGGAGAAAGAAAAATAAAGGTGTATGTACAAGGGGGAAAACTAGAAATAGTCTAGTTTAGGGAGGAAGTGAAGAGTGCAGTTCCAAGCGTCTGCAGCCTGAGGCGGTGAAGAGGAACTGGCGGGGGTCCGGACCACGCGAGACAGAAAAGAGCACGAAAGCCTTGAGCCAGCGGCACATGCGTGGTCCGGCCGAACACTGCTCATCACAAGCTTCCATCTGCGGCGCCGGGGCAAGCCCAGCACTCATAGTGGAGCACCCGCAGGGACATCCCCGAAGAACTGCCATTTGTTACTAACTCTTAGAAGATGAAATCTAAAGGGACCACTCAACGTTTTTAGTAAGTCTCTACAGCATTTCTGGAGCAATGGTGAGCAACCTGAGGTCACAGGGCTACATGTGGCCTGCCAACGTTCTGTGTATGGCCCATGAGGCATTTTGTTTACCATTGTTCATGTGCTGAATTGCCAAATACTGCTGGTTTCTATCTTTTTTTTCCCCTACCAGTATTACTGAAATGACACGCACAAAGAGGAAGAGAATGTGAAGTGAGAGGTGTGCTGATTGCACAACACTGACTGTAAAGAGCCGTGTGTTCTCTCTGCAGCCAATCAAAGCGCTGCTCTGGTTCAATCAGTGCACACTGCAGATTCTAGGTATGCAAGCACAGTTAGTAAAACTACCCTTTCCTGGGAGACCATCTTGGTTACAACAGTCTTGCAGTCCACTGAGATGAAGAAGGGCCACTTATGTAGCTCGTTCACTAGCCTAGGTTGCCCATCACTGTTCTGGAGGCTGGAAAGGTGTATATCCAGCAAAGTGACATGATGATGGATGCACTAATCCCAAAAAAGCACAGCTCTCTGACTGAGGAGAGAGAAATCTGGTTCCGCCTTGCCTGTTGATGCAATGCACTGCTGTGGGGTTGTCAGTAAACTCTCACATAATCACATCCTGGAGGAGGAGGAAAGTTCTGCATGCTGATTATACAGCCTTAAGTTCCCGAACGTTTAAGTGTAGGGTAGCCTTCTAGGGAGACCACTTCTCTTGAATCTTCAGGTGGTTGAAATGCACTCCATACCCCTAGGTAGATACATCCATAACTAGTCTTTGTTGGTAGAAGCTCTAAAAAAAGATCCTCTGCTGTGCACCTGGGATGGACCTATACAGTAGGTCTGCTGGTTAATCGCCTTCAGTGGAATACAGTAGGGACTACCCCTGGAAGAAGAGGTTACTTACCTGTAACTGGAGGTTTTTGAGCTGTGATTCTTACCTGTATTCTACTTCCCACCCTCTTTCCCCTCTGTTATGGATCTGTTCAATTTGTGGTGAAAAGGGAACTGGAGATGCGGTACTATCCAGTCATCTAAGTAGGTATTCATCTGGGTTCCTTGTCTTCTCAGAGAAGGCCACCATAATTATGACACTGGTGAACACCTGCGGGAGCCATGGAGAAACCAAAGAGCATAACCCTGGTGGTAGTCTGATGTTCTTGTGAGGAACTTCAGATACTTTCTGGGGCTGGATGTGTTGAGATGTAAAACTAGGTGGAGTCTGAAGATGAAGAGCCAGGGAACCAGACAACAGAATCCAGAGAGAGGATCCTATTTAGAAGCAAGGATATCCACAGGGAATATGAAGAACTGAAAAAGGGAGTGAAGACAACTGAGACAGAAGATGGATCTCCACCCTACTTTCTCTTTTTGGATTGAGAAGGTTACTTACCTATAACTGAAGGTTCTTTGAAATGTGTGGTCCCTATCTGTATTTTACTTAGAGTTATGCATGCATGCCATGTGTGTGGAGCCAGAGAATTTAAAAGAAGTAGTGTTCATTGGTCTACGCATGTATCCCTGCTGTGTCTGATGGTTTTGTCCAAGGCGGACTGACCGCCTCTCCAGTTCCCCTTTCACTGCAAATTGAACAGATCCATAATAGAGGGGAAGGAGAGTAGGAAGTAGAATACAGGTAAGAATCACATCTCGAAAACTTCGTTAGGTTTAACCTCTTCTTCCAGGGATAGTCCATACTGTAGTCCACTGAAGGCGATTACCCAGTAGTACCTAATTTGGAGGAAAGTGCAAGGAAGTGAAATGATTGAGTAGAGAATCTCCACACTGAATGAAGCATGTGGTAGAGTCCTGTGCAGTGAAGGTATGAATTGAACCTTGACCTACATACCCAGAAGTGGCAGATTGTGGAGAGTGGCCACAACTGACATCTGGGCTCTTACAGGATGGGCTCTCACCCCAAGAGGTGGAGGCAGTCCCAAAAACTCATAGCATAGAATCATAGGGGTGAAAGAGACCTCACCAGGCCATTGAATCCAACCCCTTGCCCAGAGCAGAACCAACCCCAACTAAATCATCCCAGCCAGGGCTTTGTCAAGCTGGGACTTTAAAACCTCTAGGGATGGAGATTCCACCACATCCCTAGGTAACCCATCCCAGTGCTTCACCACTCCCCTAGTGAAATAGTTTTTCCTAATATCCAACCTAGACCTCCCCCACTGCAACTTGAGACCATTGCTCCTTGTTCTCCCATCTGTTACTACTGAGAACAGCCTGTGTCCAACCTCTTTGGAACCTCCCTTCAGGTAGTTGAAGGCTGCTAACAAATCCCCCCTCACTCTTCTCTTCTGCAGACTAAAGCCCAAATCCCTCAGCCTCACAAGTCATGTGCTCCAGCCCCCTAATCATTTTAGTTGCCTTCCTTTGGACTCTCTCCAATGCATCCACATCCTTTCTGTAGTGGAGGGCCCAGAACTGGATGCAATACTCCATATGTGGCCTCATCACTCCTGAATAAAAGGGAATAAACACTAGATCTGCTCCTACTATTGCATCCTAATATGCCATTAGCCTTCTTAGGCACACCACTGACTCACTACCAGCTTCTCTTCCATTGTAATCCCCAAGCCATTTTCTGCAGAAAATCTGCTGCTTTGCCAGTTGGTCCCCAGCCTATAACAGTGCTTGGGACTCTTCCATCCCAAATGCAGAACTCTGCACTTGTCCTTGTTGAACCCCCATCAGATTTCTTTTGGCCCACTCCTCCAATTTGTCTAGGTCACTCTGGACCCTATTTCTACTCTCCAGCGTATCTACATCCCCCTCAGCTTAAGGTCACACGCGAATGTGCTGAGGGTGCAATCCATCCCTGCATCCAGGTCATTAATAAGACTCCACCTTAATTAGACTCTACCATACGACTTTGAGAGGAGTGAGTTTAGTACAGTCACTCTGTCCCCTTTCTGGAGAAGAAGCACCAAATGGTAGAAAATATAGCAGCATGTGTTAAGCAAAACAGATGAGCTCTTGCTGTGGCCTCTAAATTGACTGTCCACCAAATACAATTCAATTCATTTTAAATCTCATTCCTGCAATCCAGTGTAAAAAGAACTGCTCAAACAAGCCAGTCACATGAGAACATTTACAGAAGCTAAACCTACCATCTGGTACCAAGAAGGATAAAAAAATAAAAATGAAAATCTAATTTTTTACTGAAAGAAGATGTTTTTAAATGGTTTATTTAAAAAAGTTACATAAATAATTAAACTTGAAATTATGTCTACCTATGCCAAGGCCTAAGCTACTTATGTGTAGCTGCAAGGTTACACATACTATATACAATTGTTGTCCTGTAATGTCTGGCCAACTTAAGTCTTCAGTACTATTGTCAGTATCATGAGCAGGAATCGATGAAAACAAAAACAGACTTACTGCAACAGAGTGGGTAGGATGTTGCAGTCCAACACATAGTCTCTGCACATGGTACTGTCTCCAGCAATATTGCCAAGCGCCCAGACTGCCTGTGAAGAAAAAACAAACAAAATACTTGTAACTCAAGAAGTTTTCCTTTATAGTGCATGTCAGAATGATAGCGATACCATGCTAATGAAGACATCTTAAGCTGACTTATAGGAGTGAAATATAGTTCACTTGTGAATTATGGTTATACAACCAGGCTCACTAGCTGGCTCTTCGGAAATACCAACAAAGGGAAATTCTCACTAGCAAGAGCCAGAACAATATTAGCATTTCCTAAAAGTAGTGGAGTGAGTAGGAAAAAAGAATCAAGATGAAAATACACAAAATCCAAATGGAAAGCCAAACTAATATTTAGAGTCCAAGCCTCAAGAAATGTATAGCTCCCCTGCAATATACTCTTGAAAAGAAAGCCACGGGAGGCAGAACCCAAATATTGTCTACAAGCTGAACAATGGACATATATGGTAGGAAAGTCAGGACAAACTGTCTAGCAAGTCCTTAGTGGGACAACTTTTTGTATTCGAAGCAAGAGGATGTAACCGTGGCGAGTGGATTGCAACCCGGAAGAGCTGGGTTTGGGCAATCTGTGCATGTGCAGAACGATCTGCGCATGCGCAGATTGCCGGACAGCGCGGCTGGCGAACGGGGCTCACCACAGTTCAGCGAGCCCTGAGAATGTCTGCCAAACAGGAATATACAGTCTGCAAGTAATGCAGCATTTGAAACCTGGGGAGTCAGGCATATCCCTTTGTGGGGAGACAAGTCACGAAAGTAGCAACTAAAAGCTTTTTTTTTTTTTTTTTTTTTAAAAAAAAGAAAAACTAGTTGGAAAACCGGAAGAAAGAAAAGAACAAAAACCAAAAAGGAATGGATTTCAACAGCAGGTATGAGGACGACTGCTAAGTTCCAACCAAGGCCAACAGCGGTCGAGAAGGAACTGAAGGGTCAGTTGGCTGCGCATGCAGATCAGTGGTTTCACTGAGCACAAGCCAGGTTCCCACATGCGCAGCCACCAAGGACACTGCTACCACAGTTCTCAGACTTGGGGCTCAGGGACATGCAGACATCTAAAGTGGAGTATCCACAGGGACACACCTCAAAGAAGGGGAGAGTGGTAGGGGGCTTCAAGAGTTGACACCCCTCAGTTCTGCTAGTGCATCCCAACCCCACCCTCCTTAAACTCTGTCAGTGCACCCCAGTCCCTTGAATTTCTTAGCTCTTCCAATGCACCCAAACAACCTGCACCCCATCTCTCTGCCAGTCCATCCAAAATCCCCAGCAGCTCAATTGCTACCAGTGCATCCTAATCCATACACATGCATCAACTGACAGAGTCTGTGAACTCTCTGGGGCTGAAACTGACTCTTATTATTACGGTGTTACAGCAGCACCACTATAGTGAAGGTTCTATCACAATTTCTATCTCTGTGTCAACCCTTTTACAGTCCTAGATGCTGAGTCAGATTCTTTTGAAGTGTGGTGTGTCTCAGGAGAGTGCAGGAAGAATAGATTTTGGCACATTTGAGATAGGATCTGCAGAGATAGAAGACATGCTACATATATAGTGATAGATAAAACTCAGGTTGCTTGCTACAGGTTGTCTCTGTTACAAATCTCTCCTCCCCCCTGCCCTTGCCTTTTTGTCCTTTGATAGTGATAGACGGAATCTTGTAGATAAGAGTAAATGGGTTGTAAAAGGAGGTCAGGAGCTTATACATTTCAGCAACTATGGGGTTGGCAGAGTAAAGGCATATATATTATGGGAATTTATTGTGGAATTGCTGAAGTTTGAGTTTTGCTCAATTCAATGCTCTGCATGGAGATGACATACCACCAAGCAACTTTAATTCCGTGCTAACCGTTTATTAGTAATAATTAATTCCAGCCAACAGGGGTTTATGGAATTAACTTGATATATTTTCTGATAAGATTACTAATCAGACTGATAAAGAGAATACAGAATTCTGTTGCACAGACAGTAAGACAGCTGACTTGGTAACAAATAAAACATGTAGATGGTATCACGAGCTTTCGTGGATGCAACCCACTTCTTCAGATGGCTGGAGTATTATACTCCAGCCATCTGAAGAACTGGGTTGTGTCCATGAAAGCTGATGATACCATCTACATGTTCTGTTAGTCTACTATATAGGTATAGCACTCAGGTACGACTGGACTATTCGTTTAAGTTTTTCTAGTAACAGACTAAATCAGCTACCCTTCTGAAGCTTTTGGTAACAAATAGTCTGATTTAAAAAATAGAAATAAAATCAGTGCAGATGAAAACTACCTAACCGATAAGTTTCACAGTGAAACTGTAATTGGGGAATAATCTGCAAGCATGTGTGTTTATTAGTGGGGTCCCTCCGATTGGCTCTTCATTCCACATGGTTTAAGACAATGATTAGGAAGGGTAGTACTGTAGCCAAAATGCAAATATGATGCCTGGATGTATAAACAGGTGAATCTTGAGTTAAAAGATTGTGTTACTTCTTGTTTGGTGCTAGTGCAGCTGTTATTGGAACACAGTGTCCAGGTTTTGGTTGGCAGTTTTCTTATTATGTGGTAGGCTGAGGTGGGAGAAGGGTTTGTTCGGGATTTTCGGTGTGTTTTTCAGTAATCTGAATCCACAACCAAAAGTTCAACTATGAGGACATTGTGGATAATTCTCTGAAAACATCTGTTCAATATGCAATGGCAGTCAAAAAAAAAAACCCTAATAGAATGTTAGAAAGGGAGAGATCATAAGACAGGAAATATTATGACACTATATACATCCATGGTACACCCACTTCTGGAATATTGTGTATAGTTCTGGTTACCTCATCTCAAAAAAGATACTAGAATTGTAAAAATTATAGAGAAGGGCAACAAAATGGTTAAGGATATGGAACAGATTCTATGAGGAGAGATTAAATAAACATGTATATCTTGGAGAAGAGATGACTAAAGGGGGGATACTGTAGAGACCTATAAAATTACGAATGGTATAGGAAAAATGAATAGGGAATAGGAAAGTGTTATTTACCCCTTTATGTAATGCAAAGTAGGGGCCACTCAATGAAATTAATAGGTGGCAGGTTTAAAACAAAACAGAAGGAAGTGCTTCTTTACATATCACACAGTCAACATATGAAACTTGTTGACAGGAGATGTTAGGGTGGTGAAAACTATAACTGAGTTAAAAAAAATGAGCTAAGTTATTGATGGGCCTGTCCTCCGCTGTCTATTAGCCAACATGGTCAGGAATACAACCCCACGTTCGGAGTATCTCTAAGCTTCTGACAAACATTCCTTGTAAGCTGTGCGCCTATGCAGCTGCTCAGGAAAGATTCAAATGCTTCCCAGCTGATTAGCAGAGCAGCTACCCTAGTTTTTTTGTTCATTCATTTATTCAGTCACACATGCCTGGAGCATATAAAAATGTATTCCATATATGGATGGAAAAAATCTGTACATGAATGGAAAAGATTAGATGGAACACTGCCTCTGACTGACAGATGCTTGGACTGGAGGACAGAGGATGGATCATTCAATCACTACCCTGCTCTGTTCATTCACTCTGAAACACAGGCCACTGTCAGAATAATAGAAACAGAGCTGGAAGGGACCTTAGAAGACCATCAAGTCCAGCCCCTGCCCAAGGCAGGACCAATCCCAATTAAATCAACCCAGCCAGGGCTTTGTCAAGCCAAGACTTAAACACCTCTAGGAATGGAGATTCCACCCCCTCCCTAGGTAACCCATTCCAGTGCTTCACCACCCTCCCAGTGAAATAGTTTTTCCTAATATTCAACCTGGACCTCTCTCACTGCAACTTGAGACCATTGCTCCTTGTTCTGCCATCCCTCACTACTGTGAACAGCCTCTCTCCAGCCTCTTTGGAACCTCCCTTCAGGAAGTTGAAGGCTGCTATCAGATCCCCCCACTCTTCTCTTCTGCAGACTAAATAGACCCAACTCCCTCAGCCTCTCCTCGTAGGTCATATGCTCCAGCCAGCTAATCATTTTGGTTGCCCTCCACTGGACCCTCTCCAATGCATCCACATCCTTCCTGTAATTGGGGGCCAATTACACTTGACATAATACTCCAGATATGGCCTCATCAGAGCCGAGTAAAAAAAAAAAAAATCATATCTCTAGATCAACTGGCAATGCTCCTCTTAATGCACCCTAATATGCCATTAGCCTTCTTGGCTACAAGGGCACACTGTTGACTCATAGCCAGCTTTCCATCCACTGTAATCCGCAGGTCCTTTTCTACAGAACTGCTACTTAGCCAGTTGGTCCCCAGCCTGTAACAATGCTAGGGATTCTTCCTTCCCAAGTGCAGGACTCTACACTTCTCCTTGTTGAAGCTCATTAGATTTCTTGTGGCCCAATCCTCCAATTTGTCTAAGTCACTCTGGACTCTATCCCTGCCCTCCCCTTAGCTTAGCCCTCCCCTTAGCGCATCTACCTCTCCCCTTAGCTTAGTCCAGTCAGGATACTGGACTGGATGAACCATTAGTCTGATCCAATATGGCCGCTCTTACGTTCTCGTGTTCAGAGAAATGCAGAAATTCAAAAATCCTGGGTTGAACTCCAAGTTCTGGATGGGTGTTTTCTCTAGTGGCTATAAACCATATTGTCCCATACAGTACTTCTCTGCTCTAATACCACTTCCCCAACAGCTTCTGTCACACACACTGCTCCCTACAGTCCTCTAGTTCATGCCCATAAGCCTCCCATCCCCGCTCACGCATTATCCCCACTTGCTCATCTCTTTGCATGTGAATCAGCCTAATTCCTTTCCCTTCGTGTTGCCTGACTGCCAAAAGGGGTGGCACTGAAAGAACAGAAGGTAATCTCCCTAGTCTGAATTTCAGTGTTCAATATCAAAGAACAATTGCAGGGAAGATTCTGCTCAGCTGATAGGTCTGGGATGCTGTATGCTAAACTGCTCTCTGGGGGTGGTGCAGGGTAGTGAAGATGGAATTTTGGAGAAGCCTATAAGCAGCCACTGAGCATGTGAAAACTTATTTTGAAAGGCTTACAACTTAGCCAAATGTGGGTAGATTTTCACAGGGACAGCAGAAAGCACAGGCCTGATATTAGGGCCAACTCCCTAGTATTTCCAGTTATTTGAAGTATTTCAAATTTCCAGTCCCTCTCAAAAAACAGCTAGCACTGAAGTTTTCTAATGAAATGGTTATAAGGATTTTTAACATAACATTTTCTTTAATCTTGTTATCTGAATCAGCTACATTGTTTTATCTGAAATTTTGAAGAATTCAGATGGAGTTAGACTTTAGCATGTTTTTTAAGCACAAACAGCTTAAGTCTCGTAAAGCTGTAAGCAACTGGAAACAGGGTCTTCTAATGGAAAATGTAAGGCAACCTTAAATATAGGCAATGCTAGTCACACCATCTAGAACAACAACAAAAATCATCAAGTGATCTAGTATCATTGGACAAAATGGGTTCATTACAACATATACCTTAATACAGTCAAATGTAATGTCACTCATCTATGAACATAGAAAGTAGGTATCACAGAATGGAGAACTGTCTCATGGAAAAATGTCATTTTGAAAAGAACAATGGGTCATGGTGGATAAACAGATAAAAATCAGAGTTTCCCATAAGATACTGCAACTGACAGGCTTAATTCAATTCTTGGCTATAATAAGCAGACATATATCAAGTATAAAAAGGAAGGTGACATCACCTATGTATACAGAATTGGTGAGGGACCATTACTTCAATTGTGCCCAAGTCTTATGATCTCAAATCACAAAGTATGTTGAAAAATTAGAACAGGTTCAGAAGAGGGACTAATAATTTGAGAATGAGAACACATATTGTACAGTGAAAGAGTTCTGAAAGTTTGATCTACATAGTTTATCCAAGAGACAGTTTAGAGGTTATTTGATTGCTATCTATAAGTAGCTACATGAGAAGATAAAAGACTCTTTAATTGTATAGTCAAAGAAACAACATCCTGTGTCTGGAAGCTGAAGTTTGATAAACTCAGACGCGAGATAAGATGCACATTTTAAAAACAGAATAACTATTGGCACAACCTATCAAGAGATGTGGTGGATTCACTGGGCTTCACAGTGCTGCCGCTTTGAAATGCTAGGAGGAGTCTGATGCCAGGCTCCTGTGGCAGCATTTCAAAGAGGCAGCCCAGCGTGGAACTCTTTGAAGTACCACTTTCTTTCCTGTCCCCTTGCTGCCTCATTCTGATAGAGGGAGCAAAGGAGGTGGGAGCGACTATCCGATAAGCATTTGTCGACTATTCGACAAGCTTGTTGACTATCCGATAAGCATTTGCTCATCAGATAGTTGACTAATCGACTAGCCCTTCACATCCCTAATCAAAACTGGATGTCTAAGATATAAGGTCTGGCTCAAATACAAGTTATGGGATTGATGCAGAAGTTACTGAGTGAAATTTTTGGATAATGTTATGCATGAAGTCAAGCTAGATTATCGTAACGGCTAATTATATCTTTAAAATACATTAATTTAACCTGCAGAATACTTAACTGCACACAATAAAGATTGAATGCAATATTTTTACATTTTAGTCTCATCCGACCATGAGCACTCTTTGCTCCTTAAAGTTGTATTCTGTTTCAGAATGTTTCTCCTAAGACATAATAAACAGTAAACATTTCTTTAATGTTAACGTGCTTTCCTATTCAAGAGAACAAGCAATAATTCTCATTCATGCTTTACCTCATTCAATAACCGTCATTTCTGAAGTACCTTTTTAAAAACAAATAAAGTAATACAACCTCCTTGGAACATAGGAAAGTGTTATTAATTGCTATAGATGACATTGACAATGGGTATATCACTATCAAATATACCATTCTGAAAAGCCCTGGAAGACATTGGATTCTCTTGCTAGGTTAACTCCTGTGCCCTTGCCTAGGAAGAATCAAAAGATATCACTCTTGATTTTTACCTGCTCTTGTACATCTTCAAATTCTGAGCTGAGAAGCTCTATAAAGATAGGAACAGCTCCTGCTTGAATCACAATTTGAGTTTGAAGGGAATTTCCCGAGGCAATGTTTGTCAGCACCCAAGCAGCTTCAAACTAGAACATGAAATACAGAAGTGATATTCATTAGATGCATTCAGTAGCATACACAAGTAAAAGGAAGCTTAAACATCTTCTATAAAAAGACAGCATTACAGAAAATAATGGTGTAGCTAAATGAATTAACTAGGGGGGAAATTGCCAACATTTTCAAAAACAAGAATGTACATTTAAAAGATGATTTATAGAAACAATATCAAATTTTCTAGAGCATCTCAGCCACCATTTATTTTTATGAAACTTCACAGAAACTTTTACTTTTTTCTATCCCATTACCTCTTTGACAAAGGGACTTGTATGCACAAATGAAATCCTAATATATGAGTTTTCACACAGGTATAATTCTGAGGCTAGGTCTACGCTGCAATGTTAAATTGGAAAAAGAAATGCAATTTGAGGTTTGCAAATTGTGTATCTTTTTTCCCCGATTTTCTTTCGAAAGAGGCTTTTCCAAAATTTGACGCGTCTACACAGTACCAAATTTCAGAAAAAAGTGCTCTTTTGACACATTCCTTATTCCTCATAAAACAAGGTTTACAGGGATGGCAAAAGAATCATCCACTTTTCCGAAAAAAATTCAAAACAGCAGACGCATTCCTTGGCATGGCATTCCGGAAAAACAATGCAGTCTAGACGTAGCCTGAGACTCTTAATCAACCTGTTCAATGCACTGCTCAGGTATCTACGTGAATATGCATTAAGGGCCGGAGATGGATGAATAGTTTGAGTGACACAAGCGACTGATACATCAAAAAAAGGGGTGTCATTTTAGAATAAATAGGAATGAAGACTGAGGTTTTCCTAACCTTTTTACAAGACGTTTCCTTCTAATTATGACCTAATATTATTCTACAATAAAGAGTACTATATTTCTTCAGTTACCCCTACGTTCTATATCACTGTTAGGATTTATTAGCGCATGATGTATATTTACACACACACACACACACACACACACACACACACACACACACACACACACTTTAGTTAAATTAAGATCTTGAATTAACAATCAATCCACATAATCATTTAAAAATTACAAATATTTTAAACAAAAAACAATGTCATTATTAGTCAAATTTATGGGGTTTTTTTTAAACATATCAGACATTTTTACCGTGAGTATCAATCATTTACACACTCTAATTTGATTGGATTGCCCAAGGCATATGGAAAGCCAAATATTCCTATAATGTGTTGGCAGAGGAGTCAGAATAAGATTATCTAGAAATCAATTTATAGTACAATGAATTAAATCTGAAATGCAAAAACAAAAAACAAAAACAAAAAAAGAAATAGCACCAATAGATGGAAAGTAAACTAGATATTATAAATTGTTCCAAACTTAATATCAGTAATGAATTTTTAAATATATAAATTATTCTTTATCCAACTATATCCCTTTAAAAGATTAAATTTACTTTAATTTACTCTCCTGGAAGAGTCACTAACTTCTAAAGTGCAGTAGGGAACTACACATAGGAATTAATGATTAAATCAAATATAATAAAAGTCATACACAGATCCTTAAGGGGATGAAAATCAGGACTCAACAGGTATGAGGGAGGTGTTTTCAAACTCCAAGTTTAAATTTTATTCATAATATGCATTTAAAACTTGTCCCCCATCCCTGGAAATAAATCTTCTTGGAACTTGCTGGTTTCACTGACATATCAGAATGCATTGTTCTGTGACAAGACAAACAGGATATGCTGCAATGAGATTTCTGGTATTTGTGATGTCAGACTGCAATAGGTATCTTCAGTGAACAAGGAAGTAATCAGCAATGTTTCACAGAACAGAGGGAAAACTCTTTAAAAAGACAATTAAGACTGAAATTTACTATCTTCCTGTAATTTTTCTTCTCTGAAGCGAGCACCTGGTGCTCCATGACCTACTAAAACTGGGTTATTTTTCCTCATCTTCCAAACACACATTCCTCTTTTAAAATAAAATAAAACAAAACAAAAAACAAAACATTGCACACATCCCACTCTCTAGTTTTACAATGTATAAAAGCTTCAGAGGGATGGCCGAGTTAATCTGTAACAGGAAAAACTCAAAAAAAAAAATAGTCTAGAATCATAGAACTGGAAGAGACTTCAGGAGGTCATCTAGTCCAGCCCCTACCCAAAGCAGGACCAATCCCAACTAAATCAACCCAGCCAGGCCTTTGTCAAGCCAAGTCTTAAAAACCTCTAGGGATGAAGATTCTACCTCCGTAGGTAACCCATTCCAGTGCTTCACCACCCTGCTACTGAAATAGTTTTACCTAATATCCAACCTAGACCTCTCCCATTGTAACTGGAGACCACTGCGCCTTGTTCTGCCAGCCATCACTACTGTGAGCAGCCTTTCTCCATCCTTTTTGGAACCTCCCTTCAGGAAGTTGAAGGCTGCTTTCAAATCCCCCCTGACTCTTCACTTCTGCAGACTAAACAAACCCAAATCCCTCAGTCTCTCCTCATAGGTCATGTGCTCCAGCCCCCTATTCATTTTGGTCGCCCTTCGCTCCAATACTTTCTATAGTGGGGGGCCCCAGAATTGGACACAATATTTAGGGTTGACAGAGAATTTAACCAAAAATACCAACCCCCCCCCAAAAAAAAGGACCCTGACAGTTATTAAGCAAAAAAACAAAACAAAAAAAATTACAAAAAAAACAGCATGGCCCCTTTAAGGTCTCTGTGGCTTTTTTTGGGCCGGTGGCCATCTTTTTTTCTTACTCTGTGCCAGAAGAGAGCTCCCCTGCAGAACCAGGTAAGCAGGGGAAAGGAGAGGCTGGGGGGACCCCCAGGGGCTGGACCCAGAAATGCTTTTGACGCTTTTTGGCCCTAACAAGCTGCCGTCGGTTGCCTGCCATCTTGCCTCCCTGCGCCAGGCTGGACAGCTCCCCTGCAGAACCCGGTAAGCACTAGCGTTGCCAGGCTGCCTCCGTATTGAGCCAGACAGCCTAGGATTTTTGCCTCCTGGCAGGGAAATTTTAGGTATCTGGTATTTTCTAAATTTTTTTTTTTTTAAACCAGACAGGAGGCGAAAATACTGGACACCAGGCAACCCTAATAATATTCCAGATGTGGCCTCACCAGACCTGAATAAAGGGGAATAATCATATCTCTGGATCTGCTGGCAATGCTCCTCCTAACGCACCCTAATATGCCATTAGCCTTCTTGGCTACAAGGGCACACTGCTGATTCATATCCAGCTTCTCATCCATTGTAATCCCCAGGTCCCTGTCTGCTGAACTGCTAATTAAACAGTCGATCCCCAGCCTATATCAATGCTTGGGATTCTTCCATCCCAAGTGCAGGAATCTACACTTGTCCTTGTTGAACCTCATCAGATTTCTTTTGGCCCAATTCTCCAATCTGTCCAGGTCTAGTAGCACCTTCAAGACTAACAAAACATGTAGATAGTATCATGAGCTTTTTTTTTTTGTGAGCACGAAAGCTCATGATTCTATGTGTTTTGTTAGTTTTTAATGTGCTTACTAAACCAGTGGTCTCCAACCTTTTTAACCTCAAGATCACTTTTTCAAAGTAAGTGCAACGTAAGATCTACCTCAAACCCAAATATCTTTGCCCCACTTCCTTCCCCCCATTCTCTGAGGCTCTGCCCCTGCTCTACCCCTTCTCCGAGGCCTCATCCTGCTCACTCCAACCCCTTTCCTCCCCGAATCTCATTCACTTTCACCAGGCTGGGGTAGCGGGCAGGGGTCCAGGCTCTAGTCTTGGGCCAAGGGTTAAAGAATGTGGGAGGGGAAGTCCTGAAGGTAGGGAGGTCGGGTGGGTTCTGGAATGGCCTAGAGCAGTGTTTCTCAAACTGTGCTCTGCGGAGCCCCAGGGCTCTGCAAGACATCTCCAGGTGCTCCGTGAGGTTGACAAACTGGAAATATCGATAGGTACAATTAGTGGACCGCTGGGCCTCCGCATACATTTTTATGCATGTGAAGGGCTCCGGAGCCCAAAAAGTTTGAGAAATGCTGGCCTAGAGGATTACCCTGGGGAGTGCAGGGTGGTGGGTTTGAGTCTCGCTAGGGTTACTAGATAGTTTAAAAAAATACCAGACACTTGATCTCAGATCCGAGGGGGGAGCAAGGCGGTACAATTAGTGGACCGCTGGGCCTCCGCATACATTTTTATGCATGTGAAGGGCTCCGGAGCCCAAAAAGTTTGAGAAATGCTGGCCTAGAGGATTACCCTGGGGAGTGCAGGGTGGTGGGTTTGAGTCTCGCTAGGGTTACTAGATAGTTTAAAAAAATACCAGACACTTGATCTCAGATCCGAGGGGGGAGCAAGGCACGGGGTTGGCCTGGTGGGGGGAGCGGAGCTGGCCAGGAGGGAGTTGGGGGAGCGGG